TTCTTTTACATCCCTCAAAAGTCTAATTGACTTCTTGCCTGAGCAACACTCTCCAGTTTTCCCCCAGAATTGTTCTTTACCCAGGATGGTAATTTGATGGCAGCTCTAGTTGGAGTACTGCTTTAAATCTTGTTGAAAAGTACGCAGACAGACGAGTGATTTCAGCTTAGCGTACTTTTTTAGCTCAAGAACAAGACAACCCTAGCCGGCTCGCAGGCCAGCTTATATCCCCGTAAATCCACCACCCAGAACACCCCCCCCCACTTCCCAATAGGTCCCAAATAGTGGCCAAGAGTCCCATAGGCTCTCGGCCCGGAGCCTAGCCCTCTGGTTGGTGTGGGCTAGGATCCGCATCGTCCTTTGTTTATCGGAGCGAAGCTCGACGCTTGCTCTTGACCGCAGGGTGCCCAAGCTGACCACGCGGTTGGAACTTGATACATTACACTTGTATTAGCAGGTGCTGTGGGTAACAACTTGGTTGAAGGAGGGAGGGGTTGAGGGAAGAAATCTTTTAATTGTAGGTCACAGAAAATGCTTTTTGCAGCTGCATTAACTTGCTTCTCCAACAATTATGCCAGTGCATAAACTCTAGACTCTTAACTGACACAGCAGAATCCCAGCAAATGTGGAGAGCACCAGATCTCTGCCTTCTGAGCTTTCGGTCTTGTCAGAATTCCGTTTCAGCGTGTTCACACTTAGCCATTTAGCCACAGCAGCTCAAGACTGTTCACTGGCTCAAGACTTCTGCCGCCTACTGATGACACACTTCATGACTGTCAGCTTCTAATCATATTCTCCTCCCCCACCCCAACGGTTGTTGTATTGGGTTGGATCTGTCAGTGGATGGGGCTGGAGAATGTGGATCTTTTGCCACATTCTCTTTCCTTCAGCAGTCCCATCCAAACTTGGGGAAGTTGTGCCTGAGGTTAAAGGACATGTAGGAGGGAGGGGCTGCTCTGAAGAAGGGCAAGGGGGCAAAGGTGCCCCCTCCTCCTCCTCCTCCTCCTCCTCCTCCTCCTGAAGTCAGTTCAGTGGGGCTCGGGGAAGAGAGAGGAGTCGTGATTCCCTCAGTGCAACCCCAGCCCTGGGAATCCGCTTTCCTTGGGCCAGCCTGGGCTGCTTGGGGTAGGGGAAAGTGGCAAAGATCCAGTGGCCTCACCGAGCCCATTATCTCATTCAGTACTGCAACATGTCAGCCACCTCAGTGTGGAGGACTCTGCGTCTGCTTCCTGTATGTTCATGCCAAGAGCTAGATTGTTGAGATCCGTCCAAGCACTGTAACGATGTCTAAAGTAAAGGGACGTGAAATCTTTCTTGAGCAGAATAATTGCTCTCAGCTGTATCATAAAAGGTATCTCTTTTGGTTGCCTCTGTTCTTCCCACACTTGAAAAGTTTTAACTGTGAAATATGATTTCCTGGTCAGCCTTCCTTACTGTATCGGTCAGCTGTTTGTTGACCCCAGGCCAGCCCCTCTTCTGTAACGGTTCTCCCTAAGGCAGGATGGGTTTTCTGAGGGTGCAGTTTGTTTGATTTATGTTGCTCAGCTAGCAGTGACTAATGAAATGCTCCTTTAAGACCAGGCACTGAGGCCTGGAGGCAGCACTGTAAAGGGTGTGGGATTATCTGGACCACAAGAAGACCAAAGCAAAAGGAGAACTTGAGAAAAATCCACTTTGGGTGGGAGGAAGAGGCTTCAGAAAGCCCTTATCTCATTTCCGTGCAAGGATATCTTGTCTAAAGAATTGCCAATTCTGTTTCTCTGAGTAGGAGTGTGCCAGTATTTTAACAGACTTGCTTTCCTATTACTTCTCCATTTTATGTACTACCAGAAGAAGAAGAGGAGATTGGATTTATACCCCGCCCTTCGCTACCCAAGGGTGTCTCAGAGCGGCTTACAAACTCCTTTCCCTTCCCCTCCCCACAACAGACACCCTGTGAGGCAGGTGGGGCTGAGAGAGCTCTGACAGAAACGGCTCTTTTTCAAGGACAGCCCTTATCAGAATTATGGCTTGCCCGAGGTCATCCTGCAGCAGTGAGGGGAGGAGGGAGGAATCAAACCTGGTTCTCCCAGATTAGAGTCTGCGCACTTAACCACCACACCAAACTGGCTCTCTTAGTTTGTTCTGGCTTGTTTCACCTGAGGTGCTGCAAACTGTCCACTTTTCTCTCCTTTCTAATTATTGCAATCGCATGCCTTTATCTTGGGCTTGTTTACAAAGGTAATTTGTCTTGGTAGGTAACTATGGTTATCAACTCTGGCTTAGGGAATTCCTGGAGATTTGGGAGCGGTGCTTTGGAAGGGCGGAGTTTGAGCAGGGGAGGGCGCTCAGTGGGGGCGTGAAACTGAAGCTGGGAAGCTGCCCTTCCCTCCCGGGGGACCTGATCTGTGCAGTCCGGAGGGTCAGGTATCGTTCCAGGAGAGCCCCGTGCCCCACATAGGGCTGCCAGGTCTCCACGACGTGCCGGTGGGGGGTGGGGGGGAGGGAGCCTTCCAGGAGTGTGGCAGGGCTCTGCCCCCAACGAGCAGTGCCATGGGGTGAGAAACCCAATGCGGTGATGTCACACAGAAGTGATGTCATCACATTGGGGCATCGTACGGCAACACTCTGGTGTAAGGCCAAAACTCTATGGTAAAATTGCCCTCGAACCATAGAGTTTTGCCCCAAAACCACAGCGTCACTGTGCGATGACATCGTTTCCATGAGACTTCATTGTGTTGAGGATGTCGCAGAAGCCCCCAAAAGCAGGGGATCCCCTGCCCCCACCTGGGAATGAGAGCCCCGTGCCCCACTTGGATGTGGGTGACCCCTGTGGGTCGCTGCCCCACCCATCCCCACCCGTGACCAGAGGGGACCTGGCAACTCCAAGCCAATGAGTAACCAGGCCTGCAACATATTGGTGGCTAGAAGATGGGATTCTTGTGCCTCTCCGATGAAATGGTTGTCATGCATCCCATTTTTCTTCCCTACCTTTCGGTCATTTGTTCACTTCCTTGCAGTATGTACAAGCTACAGAGACCAAAGTGTATGGGTGTGTGTGTGTGTGGAACTAAATGCACCTGGTGAGCTACATGGGTCTGATCAGCCCACTGGAAAATGCTCTATTTCTATTGGCTTCTACTAGGAAGAAGAGTGCAAATCTGCGTCTGTCAGATACGAGAGTGCGTTATCTTTGAACCCTGCTCTACATAAAGCTGCCTTTCCTTGGCTGGTCAAAAGGCTGTTCCACTGAGGTTTTTTTACTTGCTTCCTGCTCAGTGATGATGGTTCCTTGCAGAGACTGCTGTGAGCCTGGGGCCCTCCCTGCCCTCTCCTTTGGATCCATGTCCACCGCAGTGTCCTCCAAGCAATCCTGCACTAAAATCAAATCCAGCCTTCTTTTTATTCTGGGCTCCCCCCCCCCCTTTGTGCATTACTTTACCTCCCTTCAGTGGTCATCCTGGTTTCAGCCTGCTGTTTACCGGGTTATTTGGATGCTGTTTTGCCCTGGACTTAAATTGCCTCGACTTGAACACTGAGAAAATCCGGAGTGGCCGGCCAATGCAGAAAGGTCCTAGGTCTCCATTGACCTTCCGGGTTCGGTTTTGCAAATGGATGTTTAGGGTGTGTGTGTGGGGGAAGCTAAGCAAGCCACTCCTTCAACATTTATTAGTACACAGCCAAACTATTCTGATGCAAAGCAGAACCAGGTTTAAAGGGACATATGTAAAAAGGTATATGGCAAGGAGGCCTCCCTTGAAGATTTGAGGGAAAGGCAAGAATGGAACGGAAGTGAGCCTCGCACAGTCACCTCCTTTCCCTTTCCCTCCAGTATTCAAATAGCTGTTCAGCTTGATGGCTGTGGGCTTCATGGTGTGAGCCTTCCTTCTGGGTCATCTTCAAGGGCTTTCTGCAACCATCCTGCTCTCGTGCTGAGGCTGGGACCAGCTTCAAACACAGTGTCTAATAGTAAATTGGCTGGCCCCTGTGTGGATGATGAGAACCAAATAAAAGGGTCACTCACAAACAAGGTAGGCACTAAGACTCCCCAGGCAGGCAGAAAAATCAAATCAACATTTCCATGGATGCAAGGATTTCCTTCTATGGACCATGATTTCTCCTCTTCCTCTTCCTGCAGCAGCCTAAAATGCCCCTGCAGAAGGGAGGAGGCAGAAGTCTTTGTGTCTGCAGTAACCAATGTGTGGTCAAAGGTTACAGATGTACTGGCACAGAAAGCTAGCTAAGTACCATGCATTAAGCTTATAGTGTTTGGTGCCTGGCTTTTGTCAGGTTCCCCTCAACTCACTCTCCACAAAGGCTTTCATTATAGAACGTTTATTAAAGAGATTTGAGATGCTGCAAGGATGACTTCTTTGTCAGGACAGAGAAGCAAAAGTGAGGACCCAGCTTATAACTAAAACCCACATTCCATGTACACGTCACACACCCATAAGCATTCCTAAAAACCCAGACGGATACAATGGTTCGACTAGCCATTCAAAAGTCTTATCATCTTCAAGGACACTCTCATGTGAAAGTTCCTGAGGTGCTGCTTGGGAAAAAGGTTACCAGCGTTGCCTCCCTAAACTACAGACATTCACACAGTCACTCTCCCTCCCACAGTCTCTCTTCCACCCACCAGGAATGTCAGTGAGGGTGAGTGATAAGCTGACGGCTGGATACATCTGTGAAGGGGAGGGGAATGGGGTTTGTGGGTTACATAAGGTTGATAATATTACAGGTGTTGAAGACATAGGTGAGAACATATCAGAAGGCAAACCCGAGTCTGACAGCTTTCATATGAAGGCTGGAATCGACATGCATGCATGCATGCATGCATGCATTTCAGTGGCTTACAGGGAATTATATTCTTGGTGCAGGTGAGGTACTTTTGTGACTCCATTCTATAGGAATTGAACATTTCCTTGACTAACAGGTAGGACAAAGGAGGATGAATCTTGGTGCAAGATATGTACATGTGATTATTTTCCTTCAACTAATGTCATCTTTTCCCTTTACAGAAACAGAACGAGGATGATACTGATGATGATTTGGAAATTGCCATCGATAACACAGCTTTTATGGATGAGTTCTTTGCAGAGGTGAGGAGATACAGGGAGAAAGAGGAGCCTTCAAGTTAAAATGAAGTGCAAGAGATGCAGAGTCCGTCAAACTCAGGGCCTCGTTTGCCATATGGGATCTTGGGTTCTGTCTTCGTTTCCCTGAAACCATTCTGTATCTGGGCTATTGGGGGGGCAGTTGGAGAGTGTGTGGATGTGTGTGTGGGAACCTGCTTCGCTTAGCACTGCACAACTGTTTTTTTAAGGGGCCTCCCGTATGGGAAAAATGCAAATGTCCTTGAACGTCTCTGCTAGCAGGCTGTTGTAGATAATGAAACTGTTAGGTTTGCAGGTGTCTGGCTGGGGGGGAAGGAGTGCGTGCTAGTTTAGGCAGGATGCATGAATGGATTGATCGGATGGGTCACTGGGGGTGTGTGTGTTTGAATCATCTATAATACCAGAGCTAGTGCCAACTTAGTAAGTTCTGACACTGATGGTCTCTACTTGACACAGCTACATATCTCAATAAACAAACCACTGGAAGAAGAGTGTTGTTGAGAGTGAGTTTGTGCAAGAGTCTGACAGACTGTCAGAACTCACTCACTACCTCGACCCATCGCACCACCACCATGATGAGCGAAGGCTGTGAGGAGACAGGGACCGGGATTGGGACCCAAATGGATCCACCAGCCCACGAACCCCTTGTCTCGACAGAGGAGGGGACAATCTGAGGGAAGGGAGCTAGTCAGTCCTCTCAGCTGAGATGGGATGACCCCAACTGGCTGCTGACTCCTGGGCCAAGGGCTTGGTGTAATTGGCCCGAGGCTGAGTGGAGACGGGTTGCGAGATCATTCCATGATAACCCCGAGTGGTTGCAAGTGTCAGGGATGCTGACCGAAGAAACCGACATCAAGCTGGTCCAGCAAAAATTAAGATGTGAGATGGAGGACCTGCAGCAGGACACATGAGCAGTCCTGGCAGACCTCCTGGCTTCCCTTCTGGGAGGCCTTGCAGCAGGAGCTCCAGGCCCTAGGAGGAGGCCCTGCGTAGCAAATCCCCACAGGACCTTTGGTCCCCCCCAGCGGGGGCCCCGGTGCAGCTGGCACTACAACCCCAACTAGCGCCCCAGCCCAGACCACCTCCTGCTCTGGCCCGGCTGAGAGAAGCACTGGAGGCTATGTTCGATGGGGCCCCGGAGAAGCTGGTGTTCTTCATGCTGCAGATGCAGAAGTTACTGAGGGAGTGGGACCTTTGCATTGGATGAGCACCACATGGACTATGTGGGGTCTTGGCTGTGGGATCAGGCAGCAGACTGGTTTATGGGACTGTACAATGCAGGGGGCCCAGAGCTCAGGGACGTGGATGCCTTTATGCGGGCCCTCCACCAACAGTATGAAGACCTTCTGGAGCTGGAGCGAGCCAGGACCCACCTTCGGGGTCTGAAGCAAGGCAGCCGGTCCATCTGGGAGTTCTCAGATGATTTCAAGATGCATGTAGCTAACTCTGGGGGTGGCCGGAAGAGGTGCTTATCGAGTTCTACTGGGTAGGTCTAAACCCCTCCATCTTGAACAAGGCACTGGCTCAAGACAACCCCTTAACCCTGAATGACTGGATTCAGCTGGCTTGTGAAGCAAAGAACTGTTGCAACCTGCTGAAGATGTACCACCACAGGCCCATGGTAAAGACATGGACTGGCGAGTCAAAGAGGAAGTGGAGCCGGCTCCAGGGAACTGGGAGTTGGCCGCAAGCAGCAGATGCAACATGGTCTGTGCCTCAGATGTGGAGCCCTGGGCCACTTCACCACCAACTGTCCCCGGGAGAAGAGCCCCAGTGGTGCGAAGGAGGAGAATCGACGGGGACTGGAGAAGAGGAGCAAGCCCCTCGGGAGCCATTCCAAGCCATCAAAAGCTCTCCAGTCAGGAGAGCGAGAGGAACTGGAGGGGGTTTCGGCGGAGCTGCAACAGCTGGCAGGAAAAGGCTGGGACCTGATGTGAAGGGCACTAAATGGCAGGTCTGAAAGTCTCCTGTGCCAGAATTGGTGAGAGCCTATTCCCCCTTATTTTACATGACTGTGGCTGTAGTCAACCCCACCCTTAGCATGCACATCAGGGTGTGGGCTTTGATTGACTCTGGGTGCACCCGGGACTTAATTAGCCTAGCCCTGGTGATGGAGCTGGGAGCTAAGGTGCACAAATTGGATGAATCCTTGATATTCTCCCAGATGGATGGGACACCAGTGAAGGAAAAACTGTGCAGGTACCACATGAAACACTTGCTGGTGGGGTTTGGCTCCCATTGGGAGCTGAGATTCTTTGTCATCAACCCTTCGGCTAAATTCCTGATGGTTCTGGGGAGTCTGTGGCTCAGAGGCCACAATCCCTATGTCCAGTAGAGTGTGGGGGCCCTGCAGTTCCTGGACCTCCACTGCAAGGAGCATAGCTGGAACCCAGAATGGGGGGAGGTGCCATGGCCCGAGCCTGAGCAGGTGTGCCTGGCCTGTGAGGAGTTGAACCTTATCCCCCTGGAATACAGAGACTTAGCCAAGGTGTTTGGGGAGGGGGAGGGGGACAAACTTGCCCCTCACCAGAAAATGGATTGTGCTATTGAAATTTTGCCTGAGCACAAAATGCCTAAGGGGAAGCTCTATTCCATGAGTCCAACTGGCCAGTGGAGTCATCTGGCTGACGGCCTCGCCTTTTGCTGCTCTGGTGCTCTTTCGCAAGAAGAAGTATGGAGGAGTTGACACTGTGTATGGACTACCAAGGGTTGAATGTGATGTCCATGTCTAATGCCTACCCCCTCCCCCCAAAAAAAACTTGTTGGCAGAGGCCGCCCAGGGCCACATCTTTACCAAGTTGGATTTAAGAGATGCCTATTTTCGAGTATGTATCAGAGAGGGTGATGAACATAAGACTGTTTGATACCCCACTAGGCCAGCTCAAATACCTGGTGATGCCATTCGGACTAGCGGGGGGCCCAGGAGTGTTCATGAACTTGATCAATGAGGTGTTACATAAATATCTGTTCAAAGGGGTGCTTGTTTATCTGGATGAGATCTTGATCTATTCAAAAGATAAGGAGTCACATGTGCAACTCATTAGAGATGTATTGAAAGCCCTCTATAAGAACCGCCTATTTGCAAAGCTGTCTAAGTGTGAATTTCATAAGGAAGAGCTGGGTTTTCTGGGCTATCTAATTTCTGGGATGGGCCTGGGCATGGACCCACACAAAATTCAAAATGTACTAGGGTGGGAACCCCCTCAGACAAGGAGGCAATTGCAGTCACTCTTCAGGTTCGCCAATTTCTACCATCCATTCATCCCCAATTTCGCCAAGGTGGTCCTACCCCTCACTGTCCTATTGAAAACTAAGGGGAAGGGGCCAGAGAGCCACAAGCCCAGCTACAAGCTGCTGTGGACCCCGGAGTGCCAACAGGGTTTTGAGAGACTGAAGGCTCTGTTCACCTCTGAGCCAATCCTACAGCACCTGGATGAAAATAAGCCCTTTGTGGTGCAAGTGGATGCCTCTGATGTGCCAGTGGGGAGTGATACTGCAAAGGGGTGAGGATGGGAATCTGCACCCCCTCGCATATGTGTCCAAGAAATTTTCTGAGTCAGAGAGGAATTGGATACATTGGCTGGAGAACTTGGAGGCATTATGAACCGCCAGGCGCCTGAATGCTAAACAGTTGTGGTGGGCAGAATTCTTCAAGTTCCAATTTACCCTCAAGCACCTCCCAGGGACATAAAATTTCCTTGCTGACATGCTCTCACGCCTGCCCCAGCATGCCAGCCAGCGAGAGAAAGTGATTGACTCAATGTTCACCCCTGCCCAGTTGGGGGGGGGTAGTGGTCACGTGCAGTCAAGCCAAAGCAGAGGGGCCTCTTAGTACCGAACCCTGGGTGGAACGGTTCAAAGCCGCTTTCAGTGATAGTGATAAGGAGGAGGTGGAGAAAGAGGGCAACCTCACCCAGTGGGGAAATGGATGCTGGTACCACTAACAGAATTTTTTTGTTTGTGCCAAGGGCTTTGTGGGGGGATACCTTGCAAATGGGACATGACAGCAAACTGGGTGGGCATTTTGGGTACCTAAAAACCCTGTACCTCACACAGAGACAATTTTGGTGGCCATGCATGTGAACTGATATCTCTCAATACGTGTCTTCATGCCAAGTCTGTTTAATGGGGAAGTGAAGGGCTGGGAAACCCGTAGGACTGTTGCAGCCTCTGGAAATCCCCGCGAGGCCATGGGCTGTCATTTCCATGGATTTTATAACAGACCTGCCACCCAGCAAAGGGAGGACTGTAAATTTGGGTGGTAGTGGACCTTTTTTCGAAACAGGCACATTTCATCCCTTGCAAACAGCTGCCTTTGGCTAAAAAACTGGCACAGCTGCTTATGCAGCATATTGTGCGGCTACATTTGATACCCTAGAAGATCATATCCGACAGGGCCCCCCAATTTGTGTTGGGGTTTTGGAAAGAACTGTTAAAGTTACTAGGGGTGGAGCAAGGTTCTCAGCAGTGCCTACCACCCAGAGACTGATGGTCAAACTGAGAGAAGTAACTAAGTTCTGGAATAGTTCCTGAGATGCTTCATCAATCACCAACAAGATGACTGGGTGGATTTATTCCCCTATGCGGAATATAGCTATAACAACTCTGTGCATAGCTCTACAGGGGCCACCCCTTTCAAGGTGGTACATGGCTATGAGGGGGCCCCCTTACCCACTATGGCCTCAGAACCCCCTGGTCTGATGGACTTACAGACTTGGTGGGCTGACTTGACTCAGCAGTAGACTCTAATCCAACAAGCTCTGGCCAAAGCAGAGGAGAACTATAAGGCCCAAGCAGACAAGGGGCGGGCCCCAGAGTGGGACTTTCACCCAGGAGATTCTGTGTACATCTCCACAAAGAACCTTAGGGGGTTGCAGCCAGGGAAAAAGTTGGGGTAGAAATATGTGGGACAATTTAAGGTTGTGAGTAATTAATGAAGTGGCTGTTGAACTGGACTTGCCAAAAACCTTACAACACATCCACCC